TAGGACCAAAAATGGAATTCACTCTAAAATAAATATACTAACAAAGGAAGTAAATAAATCATATTGATTTGTTTCCTTAGTTTGCTAATTGCATATCCCCTTTGTCGATGTTAGTATGACCTTCCAAAGAACGCATCAGAAACATAGTCCCAAAATCCCTCCCATTCGTCGGTTGTCACTTGCGGAGCAAGAAAAATGTAAATCCAAGGGCCTTTGTTTTAATTGTGATGAGACGTGGACGACCATCATTTCAAGCACCTATTTTGTGTCATAGGCGTTAATGAGGAAGAGGAAATCAATGAGCATTCTATTGAAGACCTTGAGGTGCCAAATTGATTTCGTGGTCCAGCGACACTCCTCGTGTATTGACTCTCGTTTCTTCCTTGCACCCAGCTTCCAACCATGATGTTTTGAACGTCCTTCTATCAGAGTTTGACCCATTATTCCAAGAGTTCTCGACACTTCCACCATTACCGCATTGTATTGTCCTCTGGTTTTAACCCAATTGCAGTTTATCCTTATAGGTACCCCCAATTACTTATGGGTGAGATTGAGAAACAGTGCTCAGATATGCTTGAACATGGGATTATTCGGCCAAGTAAACCACCATTTTCTTCTCTAGTGCTTCTAGTTAAGAAGCAAGATGGAACATGGTTGTTCTACGTGATTATCGAGAACTAACTGCTCACATTATTAAGGATAAATTCCCAAATCCGATCATTGATGAGCTTCTCAATAATTTGCATAGGTCCCAAGTTTTTACCAAGCAGGACTTGTGCTCCGGCTATCATCAAATACATATGCGCCATGAGGATGTGGAGAAGACATAATTTCGAACTCATCATGGCCCTTTCGAGTTTTTGGTGATGTCGTTCGAGCTCATGAATACTTCATCAACTTTTCAATCCTTGATGAACTAAGTCTTCGGGCCATTCCTATGTAAGTTTGTATTAGTTTTCTTTGACGATATTTTGATTTATAGTGCTATATGGGCAAAACATATTCAACACATTCACATGGTCTTTAAATTAATGCTGCAACACAACATGTTCATGAAAAAGTCCAAATGTGTTTTCGAAGACGTCCAGGTTTGTTATCTTGAGCATGTTATTTGTAATAAGGGTATGACCACCGATTAAGAAAAGGTGCAAGCAGTCTGTGAATGGCAAACTCCCACATCCCTAACCAGTTTCCATGGCTTCTTGGGACTACCAGGTTTCTACCTTCGGTTTATTCATAACTATGGTATCATTGCAGCACCTCTCACCAACTTACTCCACAAGCATTCTTTTGCGTGGTCAACGGAGGCTACCAAAGCATTCAAAACCTTAAAATATGCCCTCACCTCTACTCCATTTCTGCAACTACATGATTTCTCCTAATCCTTCATCGTCGAGTGTGATGCTTTGGGTAGTGAGGTAAGTGAAGTTTTGCATCAAGCCATGCATCCCATTGCCTTCTTCGGCAAGAAGCAAGCTGACCGTCACCATAAACTTCCTACACATGAAAGGGAATTCATTTGTTTAGCCCAAGATATTCGTCATTGGCATCACTATTTATGGGACTAGCCGTTTATTATTCGGACTGATAATTACAATATCAATGCAAGCATTTATGTTGCAGTAGTGCTTATCAACGTCTCCACAATAACATTGGATGAGCAAAATCTTAGGCTTCGATTTTGTGGTGGAATACAAACTTGGGAAGCTCAATGTAGCGATAGATGCCTTGTCTAGTAGGGATCATGATATGAACATTGTTGTGCAATTTCTATGATCCACTCCACGTTGTTGGGTGCCATCAAGAAGGCAGTACACACTTCAAGTTCATACTCTCCCTTTTTGCAAAAGGTTGGGCAACCATGGGAGTAATTTTTGTGATTATTTGATGTGTCCTTATTTAGGAGTAAAACCTTCATTCCTCTATATTATGAACTCGCCAATCGTGAGCTACGAGAAGTCCATGATGCAACCCACAAAAGTGTCCAAAAAAAAATTCACTAGTTTGTCGTGATTTTACTTGGCCAGGTTTAAATCCAATGGTGCGTTCTTTTGTAGCCCGTTGCAAAGAATGCCAACGACATAAGTGCGAAAATTGTCACCCATTTGGTGTACTACAACCACTACCTATACCAACCCATATATGGTTTGATATCTCTATGAATTTTATTGAGGGGTTTCTAAAGGTCGGAAGATAGTGATCTTTGTGGTGGTTGATGGGTTTTCAAAGTACGCCCATTTTATGGCTTTACAACTTCCATTTTAAAGCTGCCATGGTGGCTCAGATGGTTTTTGCTAATGTTTTTAAGCTACATGGTTTGCCATAATCTATTGTGAGTGACTGCTAGTTTTTTTGAGCGGCTTCTGGAAGGAGTTATTTCTCTTCAGCAGAGCTAAACTGGATTTTTCTTCCTCTTACCACCCACAGTCTGATGCCCAAACAGAGGTGGTGAATAGAACTATTGAAGTATACTTGTGCTTCCTGGTTGGAGATCACCCTCGAAATTGGACAAACATTCTCCCATGGGTTGAGTATTGTTACAATACTGCTTTCCACTCCGCCCTTCATTCACCCCTTTTTTAGATTGTGTATGGCAGGCTGCCCCCGCATTTTTTTATCTTATGAACCAGGTATGTCTAAAGTGGAAGTAGTAGATGAAGCTTTGTAGTCTTGACTCTCGATATGAGATTCGTCGTGATGCACAGCATCATCTCCAGTTGTCTCAGTCGAGGATGGAGCAAACATATAACTGCCTCCATTGTGATGTGGAGTTTGAAGAAGGACATTGGATTTGGGTGAAGTTGAAGCCATATCAACATAATTCAATAGCTCGGTGGTGGAACAATAAAACTTTCTGCAAAATTTTATGGTCCCTTTCAAATACTAAGCGAATTGGCAAGGTAAACTATCAATTAGGGTTTTTCCTGGAGTCGCAAGTACATATAATGTGTTTCACGTATCCTTACTTAAGCCATTCACAGGCGCTGCTCCATCCTTGCTCTCTCTCTTACCACCTATAGAAGAGGCCACTTGGAAAGTGTTAAGTGATTTTGTCTTGTAATTTCCTGATTTCAAGCTTGTCCGAGTTATTTTTGCGTTGATGTAGAAAGGAAGCTGTTATGGAATATTTGAAAAGCTGTGGGAATTTGGGAAGCTTCTCAGTTGGAAGAAATTCATTTGTATTTACTTGCCTTTAAATATATTTTCATGAGTAAATACTCAAAATAGTCTCTTGACTATAGCTAAATTCATAAATCGGTCATCGACTACTGATTTGAACCAATAACATCCGTGACTTTACAATTTCTACCCTATATAGTCATTTGTTAATTCCACCGTCAACTGGCCGTTAAACTCAAGGACAGACTCATAATTTCACATGCTTCTCGCCTTTGCACTTCACATGTTCGCTAAGTACAAACGATGTTCCTCTTCTTCCGGCGAGGCATCAAATCAACAAAGATGGACGGCGGCTAGCAGACTATGCAACATCAAAGATGAAGCCGTCGCCTCCCTTCGCCGGAGTTCTGTACCCGTAGCTTCTCTGCTTCTCTCCCAGCAACAACAAGATTATTAAAGACAAAACTACAAAAGCATTAATTATCAGGTCCACAAACTACATCAACCATCTTTTCTGCATCTAATATTTTGTCCTTCAACCTCTCAGCGATACAACCCATAACAACTATTTTTGGAAGATGCAAGGACTGTGACCTTCCAACGGCAACATTGCTCTTCCACTACCTCTTCATAAACCAAAAATAGTTAAGCATCTACCAAGCCTTTTGCTCTGCATTGTCCCTTATAGCACAAGTATTTATAAATATAATCTATACATTCTCTGGAATATCCGCAACTTCACCATATCCAGCTTTCTTCATTATAGATAAAACTATCATCAAAAAGCTTCCTCCTGCCTAGAAAATTAGCCATGCAATTCACTAATTGGTCATCAACCCAAAACCCATTGCGTCCTAGCCCAAGAAAAGAATTTGAGTGTATTAATCCTATCCAATTCTCTATAATTCATCAACACTTGCAAAACTGCATCAGAATTAATCATATGCTTAAAATCAGTCAAGAGCTCAACAATACTACCCGGATCTGAACCGCAGAACCTAACCAATATTGCCCAGATCTGAACCACAGAACCTAACCACGCAACCATGGTTGCAAAATCCGCCTAGCTACGTGTCATCTTTGTCGCCGATTTGGTTCCGACTGGAATTATTGGATGAAGAAGCCCGCATGTGCCTTTCTAGTGTCCTGCATTCGTCCATGTATTCATCAATAATCCTGGAGCTTCGTGTTGTTTCCCGAGCCGGCGACCGTCCGTATTTCCTCGCAAAGCAGAAACTCCGTGGAAATTTCAAGCTCGAGGGGAATCACAGTCTCGCCGGCAGAGAGGGTCTGTCCTTGGGTTTCACGACCGCTTTCCCCCAAATGCGGAACAGTACTCACCAGCATTGCGAAACAGGGGAGCTTTGCGAAAGGAGAAGCGAAGCGCTAGAAGCAAATCGAAGGTTACGGGTCTGTCCTTGGGTTTCACGGCAAGTTGACGGTGGAATTAACAGAGGACTACGTTAGGTAGGAATTGTTGATTCAAATCAATAATCTGAGGACCATCTCTAACCTATTGCAGCACAAAGAATCAATTTCCTACCACCGGGATTCGATCCTGTAACTTTTTCTCAAGGAGAACCATAAAGGTGTTATCTGAGCACAAGGTGTTTGGCGAGTATTTACTCTATTTTCATTGTTTAGTAAGTTGGGAAATTCTAAACATATTACTTAGCTTATTTAATTTATTTACTGAAAGTTACATTTTATCCTATAAAGAGGGGAACCAATTTCAATGATAAGCAAGCAGATTTTCATCCTAGCAAAGGGAATAGGGAGTTTTGGGACCTCAAGAAAACCAATCTGGTTCTCTGTCTTTGTTCTTTTCCTCCATTTTTGTTTGCATGTGACGTAAAGACCATAACAGAAATTGCTCAGCATTTGACAAAATTGCATCATCAGCTACTGAATTAAGCTGTACATTTAAGGTCACAAAGGAACATACATAGTGTTACAAAGAACTAACTTAAATAATAATTAAGGCTTGTTGGGTAACAGTAAATAAACTGGAATGGGGTAAAGCCTCTTGGTGCTATGTAGTATGTACTGTACAGTTCAGAGCCAAGAGTACAACATAATAATACACAGTCACAGTGGCAACTAGAAGTTAAGATTCAGCTTGCTGAGCTTCTTTCCTCTGTTGCAATTTTTGGGTCCTTGGGAATAGTAGATTGTTCAGTTGTCTTTCAGCACTATACTCTGAGGATGCCTGCAAAATGCAAATACATCACTTTCCGCTATCAAAGTGTGAAAACACATTGAAGAGGACAAAGGTGGCATCTTGAAGGTACACTGATAGTGAACTAGAACACAATACCCGTTTTTTAAATGCAAAGCGTAATGTTTGGACTTGTGTTCCAGAGCAAACTCTTAGATCAATACCAAGGCTATCGACACCTATCAGAGATACTTCCTGCCATGAATGGCATAAAAAGTTGTCAGATAAGATAAATTCCAAGCATGCTCCCCCACTCCCACACCATATTTCATGAGACTAAAGTCCCTGCAAATTCATTGATGTTGCTATAACTACAAAAAAGATGGTCTGAAACCTAATGCCTGCCTGTATTAGAGAAGATGTTTTTGGAAGTAAAACCAATGACTTTCAAATCATATGAAGTAACCCATTTGAGAGCAACAAAACCCTGTCATCCTTTAGTAAGAAAGGCATCCACAATTCTCTAGCACTACTTTGACATACAATTATAGGGATCTGCGTTTAAGAGAGTAATTGATCTTTCCTCTTTCACTCTGGTCCTTGTTTCAAGCATGGGAAGAAAAAGTGCTGCTTTCTTTTATGATCTTTTTGCTTTCAAGACCAGTTATATCAAGTGACAGAATCAAATGATTGAAATTGCAGCATTAAATTTCCAAAGGGAGCGAAAGATATCCAATTTAATCATATGATTGAAATTGCTCATGTAAGGACTTTGCTGGTGTTACCTCTACTTGGATACCCTTGCATCTCCAGCAGAGGGATTTGAGAGCTTGAATGGTCTTTTCTCCACTGGTTTTAAGACGGGACAAGATTTTTACAGCTGAGTGTGCAATTGCATCAGCCCGAGCTCTCCTAAAATCTTCTATTTCAACAAAAGTCTGTAAAAAGCATAAAAAGGCAGGGAGACATACTATCATAACTTGGTCAACCTGAAATTTGAAGCCTATTTCGCATGCCATTTATGAAAATCAGAAAATAATTAAACTTTGAGGATTATTTCCATAATATGAGCATTATGATATACCAAGGGGAAGCACTTTACAGTACCAAGCATGCCTTTCAGGCTTGCACAAGCATACATCACACAACATACTTACACCCTCAGAGATCCCAGATGGCTGATAACATCATAACAAACAGTTAACATAAAACCTATCTTGAATTTGACAATTTACCTGATTTCCATGAGCAGAAATTAACTGGATCTTGATCATTTCTAGCTTGTAAAATGAGGTTCCACTTCCAAGGGTTTCATCCTTTTCTAATTCCTCTGCCCAGTTTGGGTTATCTTGATCTAATCCACTTTTGTGTCTGTGACCATTTATCGGAACAATAGTTGTTTCTTTGCAATCTGCAGCTTTTGAAATCTGATTCCGATCAGCATTACTGGTTTTGTGGTCAGACATCTGCTTTTGGATGACAACATGTTCTTCAAGGAAGGCTGGCCTTAGAATGCCTTGTATTGCAAGGCCTGCTGGAGGCAGTTCCATGAAATCTATAGGATCATCATCAACAACCTGAGCACCAAAGAATATGTCAAAAGACCAGAAATATGAGGGGTCACTTAGCCAATTGAGAAGTATGAATAAGTATCACATATAGAAAATTATTCGAAAAAGGCATGGATTTAACTTTTAAGGAATGGCAAATAATAAGGTAACCTCAGTAAGCCTTCTGGCAAAATGCATGGGATGAGAAGATCGCATTGTATCTAATTTAGCCCAGTCCCCTAATGATCCTTCAGAACCCTCATTCTCATCATCCTCGTGGTCAAGAATGGAAACCCAATCCTGCAAATAATTTAACCAAGATTGACAAACCGGATCATAAGCCCATTGGCCTCACATATCTACAGAGAGAGAAGTAACCTCTTCATAATCATCATCATCATCTATGCCATCATCATCATCATCCTCGTTGTCATCGTCACCTTCACCATCAACATCACTATCCTCATCATCAAGTTCATCAATGCCAAAATCAATTTCAGGGTGGCCTAATGACTCGATTTGACCTAGCATTTCTGCAGTATCTATCCCAATAGTAACTTGCTGCATCAAGTAGAAATTTAAAATAATTGTAAAAACATAAGAAAATAAGAAAGTAAATAGATATGAAATCTCCAAGAAAGCACTGCACTTTGTGCCATACCACAAGGTTTTCTTCAGCTGTCAGAGTCTGCAGAATGTCTTCTTCATTCTTTACTTGAAAGTAAATATCTGACAAAAGGAAAAAACACTAAAACCGACCTTCAAAAGGGATTGCATATGCCTCAAACAAAATCACAGAATGCTACATGCAGTAACATGACAGTGAGAAGAAAGATAGATCTTACTTCCATGTTCATCAGTTACAAAAGGCAAATCAGGCCAGAAAATGCTCTCGCATTCTACATCGCTGACCAAACCTGTTAGCATAAGTGTTGCTTTGCTGTTCACCTACAAATTGATAGCATTATTAGCTCCTCTAAGTTAACCAGTTATGCTAATGAGCAAGAGGCACCAATGCTACTAGATTTACAAATGTGTGTGCTTCATAATAAAAGCAGCCATTTGATTTTCATTCACACATCATAGTAAATAGCTTAAGGTTTCCAGGAAAAACCATGTTGGCAAAATTATCCATTTCCAAATTCCAACAATGGTTTCAATGTTTGAACATGTGACAGCCAGGAGACTATTTACTAATGGGAGGCTATGGACACCCACATCCTCTCAACTAACATATGGTTATGACAGGAGGCATTTTGCACATATAACTCAAGTTGTAGCAAATTTGCAAGATTCACATAAAGCGGTGTCAAAAACCCACACTCTAAGGAAATGCAATCTGACTAGACTGACACTCCATTAGAACAGCATCCCCACATGAGGAGGAATGTTAGGCATATATAACTGAAGATATAGCATCTGCAAGATGCCAATATTCATATTTAAAATGGTGTGCACATCCCACCACTGTAAGGAAATGATATCCAATTAGAGTGATGAACCTGTCCCAATCATTCTAAAGTCTGTAAGTTAATTGCTTATGCAAACAAATCTTTGGAGCTACCAGAAAGATATCAAGCACCATCCGGTTCCGGGTTACATAATAAAAACCCCCTATCAACAAATTTGAAGCCTAGATTTTTCAGCATTCAATGAAGCTTCATATACAAAGTCAACTAGTTTAGTAAAGAAGCAGCCATTTTTCACCTCAATGATAGTTCTGGTAGTTTCAGCAGGCGTGAGCTGCGCTTCACCGTTCACCGTCAACTCCGACTCCGCAATGTCCTCGAACGGATGATATCTCATAGGCTTCGCGCTCTGCTTCACCGGCTCCGACCCGGAAGAGCTGGATTGCTCCTTCGCGGAAGCCCTAATTCCATTCCTTTCCCTCCAGAACCTCTTCCCGCAAGAAGTTTCCGTCAATCCCCCAACTCTATTTCTACAAAAAGAAAAACCCAAAAATCTTATAAAAGATTATGAGCTTAAATTGGAGTAAGAACTAAGAACATCAGAAGCAGCTAGTACCGATAGATGCATAATCCGGTGGAGTGTGAGAGCCGGCGGCAGAAGTTCCCGTATGAAATTTGGACAGAGACAGCGGCGGCGGGTTCCAACATCAGCATTTTACTTTGATTTTATATGATCAATTCTTATTGAGATCTGGGCAATGAATAAATGCAAGAGAAAAGAATAAGAAGAAATATTGAAAGATTGTGCGATTAGCTTCCAAGCTTTGATTGGAAGCGTGAGTATGATGAATAGGTCGTGTGGTTATCTTTTATCCGTTAAGCTGTTCTCTACATTGACCCATCATCCATGCACCTTTTCATCTCTTGGAAATGCGATAAGTGATCGGTGATCCTATTTGTCGCTCATCAATTCCATTCAACCGAGTTTCACGACTCACCGAGTTCTAACTGGCCCAGTAAATAAGAATATGCTTTGCATCTTCCATTAGAATCTATAATTGATAATTGATATTCACTGGGGCTGTTAATGGACCAAACATGAACGAATGAAGGTGATTTATGTTTCCTTATACTTAATAAAAAATTCAAATATAAAATACTCAAAAACTTCAATCATCTAAAGATTCAAATATTAAACTAATCTATGAACGGTTGGACCAGACAATGTGGGACGAAATCGGTCAAAATCGGACGACTCAGCTGAGTTGACCGACTAGGTCGATTTTGACCGATTTCACCACCAAGCCGGCCGCCTAACAATGAAAGTGGAACGGCCTAGGAGCGCCTAACGCCTAGGCGGGGCCTGGAACGGCCTAAGGCTGGGCTGATTTTTACAACACTGATATATATTTATATAGGGAAGGGTTTAGGTGCGGGGATGGCTTCCCGTGCGGTTGACGCACCTTAAGCATTAAAATGGCGCACCTTAAGTAAATAAATCACGCACCTTAAGCACACAAACAAAACACCTTAAAAACACAAACCACTCACTTTAAGTACACAAATCACGCACCTTAAGCACACAACAAAGCACCTTAAGAACACAAACCACGCACTTAAGGTTCTAAAATGACTTACATTAAGTTTCACATAACTGACGCAACTTAAGCATACAAATCACGCACCTTAAGAAAGAAAACAACGCACCTTAAGAATGAAAATCATGCACCTTAAGTTTCAATAAATACTCACATTAAGCACAAAACTCATGCACTATAAACACAAAATTCATGCACCTTAAGCACAAACACCACGCACCTTAAGCACAAACTCCACACACCTTAAGCACAAAACCCACACACCTTAAATTTGAAATATATGTAAAAATTATCAAATTGCCATCGCATTTTTTTTTTGTTGGTAATCCTGGACGTTGATTTAAGCAAGATCAATGGCTCAGATTTAATCGCACCTGGGCGCACCAATCGTATTTGAACCTAATTATATATATAGTCGAGTTCAGGTGCGGATGCGCCTTCCCGTGCGGTCAGTGCGATCGCACCAATAATTATACAAATATACAACATCCATGTTAGGAAATGCACAACAAAAAACATGCACAAATTAGGTACGCATCACCAAAAACGCACCATTAGGTATGAATAAAAACACCACACAGTGTTCAGAAATACACCATTAGGGGTGGAGAGTTATATGGTGCAAATTTTTGGGTGTGTTGTGTGTTTTTTGGTGTATTTGTGCATTTCATTGTTGTGTTTTTTTCTAACACTATTGATGACTTTTGTTAACACTGTTGGTGTATTTTGTCAAGCGGCCGCATTTGAACAAAAGTATATATATATTGCTGCTCAAATAGTCAACACCATTTGTAATATATGTTCTATACTTTTTCTATCTATTGCAACTCAAAGAGTCAAGACCACACCCCCGAAATTCGATCATGTGACCTTCTCTCAATGGTAGGGACAGATATGTCATCTAAGCACAAAGTGTTTGACAAGTAAGGTCATTTTTAATAATTAAAGATGTAATTGTTATACAATCCATCATGCTTATACAGTAATATATGTACCTGCATGAGTCACAAGGGTAAAGTTTGAAAACAACAACAATAATATATGTTTTCAAATGAAAATAAAGTGTAATTAAAATTAATAAATTCTTCTATTTCCTTTCAAAAAAAAAAAGTGTAATTAAAATGATTCGAATTTAAAATTGAGTTAATTTCACTAGATGTCCTTTATCTTTGGTGGCAATTTCAAGTTTAGTTCCAAACTATCATTTTTGTCATTTAAAATCCAAGACTATTATTTTTTGAACACTTTTAGTCATTCTCATGACTTTTCATATTTTTGGTAAGTATATTTTTATCTTTTCATATTTTTTTTTTGTTATTTTCATTGTTTCAACCCGTTTAATTGATTTAAGACTTTAGGTAACCTCTGATTTTTTGTAACCATATTTTTCAACTGATTTTTAGCAAAGTCTTAAATCAATTAAACCAGTTGAAATCAGAAAAATAACAAAAAAAATATAAAGAGACGAAAATATCTTTATTAAAAATAAAAAAAATTAAAAATGTCTAAAAATAATAATCTGGTTGTTATATGATAAAAGAGTTAATTCCAGCAATGGTCCTCTGACTATAGTGATTTTCCAAAATCAGTCCCCGACTTTTAATTTGGACACTTTAGGTCCCTTGACTTTCAATTTCTTTCCAGGTCCTTTCGTTAGAATACGGTTCATTAGACTTTAAATGAAGGGGTAAACTCGTCTTTTCACCTGCCTATGTATTATTCTTCGTATTTCTCCCTTCGTATTTCGCTGTTATACCTTGTAAACATCTCAATAATAGAGGAACGCACACACGAGTAGTCAGCAAATGGGGAACGACGAGGAACATTTTAGGGTTTCGACTAAGATTATCTTCATATATATCGCGTATACAATGGAGAAATACTAAGAATAATACATAGGCAGGTGAAATGATGAGTTTACCCCTTCATTTAAAATTTAATTAACCGTATTCTAACGAAAGGACCTCAATTGAAAAGAAATTGAAAGTCAAGGAACCTAAAGTGTCCAAATTAAAAGTCAATGACTAATTTTGAAAAATCAATATAGTCGGAGGACCATTGCTGGAATTAACTCTATGATAAAATTGATAGTTTGTAATTAAATTTAGAATTGTCACCTATTAACTCTTTAAAATTTGTCTCAAACATGTGACATCACCTTATCCTTTTGTCCCGTTCCATCTTGCAACCCATCCCGCATGGCGGCATCCTAAGCTCTCCCTCCATAGCCACGAGTCCTGTAGCGGAGTAAGCGCTCCTCTCTCATTCATTCTCCAATATCCATCTCTCAACAGCGCACAGCTTCCATACCTGTAACCACTGGTGGAACCTAAATAAAGGCAAAATTTCGAAGACACAACTTCAGTCTTCAGACGCCTTCATCACTTCTTCCGCCACTGCCGACGACACCCTGACGGGCGATGGCATGAACCCTATGTTGACGGCTCAACACCTCCTTCCGCCCTGGTTCACGCCAGCCAAGGCACCAGCCCACGGTCGAAACTCCAACCGTGGAAGGTATTTGTTTTTTTTTTTTTTTTTTTCCATTAATTTTTACTGAAATACCTGTCATAAATTTGGCCATATCTCTTCTTTTATTTCATATGGCAGTATGGTATTATTCTACTGTGATTATGAAACCTGAATTACACATCAATTGATTCAGGCATATAGTTATGGAACTTCCCCAATTTTTGCTAATGGAGTCCAGGGCTATATATATATTGATTCTTGAGACTGGAAACATCAATTTTTTGCTAATTCTTTTTAAACTGGCCAAGTATGAAGTAGTATAGCATATTGTGCTTAGAAATTTAGAGTTTCATCAAGAATAATTGATTGTTGTAAGAGTGTAAATCCAATGTAATATTTTTTCATCCATGAAAAGACTCTGTACACATAATGCCAATTGCTGAATTAATTTAGCCAATTTTCATTTTTATTTATAATGTTTCCTTATTCCAACTGTATTATATTCAAATGCTTTTTGATTTACAAAGGTTTGCTTTAATTTTCAAATCCACTGAACATTTTTTTTTTTTTTGGCTCCACCACTGTCTTTAAGCAAATGTAAGCTCTCCTTCTAAATCTATATAAGTATTGACTCCACTTTTGTATTGCCATATCAATTTATATGGTTGAATCTGTTTCTGGTTTCTAGTCTGTTCAAATTTGCAAAAGTAAGTATTGCTTGATAAAATTATAAAATTACTAGAAGATGGAACATCTATGCACTGGAATCATTTGGAAAAACTGAAAATAGAATGAATTGAGGTTTTAGTTATATATATATATAAATATATTTCCTTTCAGTTGAATCTTTATTTCTGAGACCTGGAGTTTAGCAGTTTGCTTCATATTTAACAAATTGCAGGTTTTGATGACTTAATTGTTAGATTTTATAAGCTTCTTTCTTGGAGGTTTTGAAATGTGACGAGTCAAAATGCTACTTTCTTGTATTGGTACTGTTTATTAGAATGAATTAGAAGTTCTACAAAATGCCCTTTGTTTTGGAAATCAAATTTGACAAAATTTTAAGGTTATGCAAGACTTGATTTCTTTATCATGAATGATGCTAAATTGCTAATTAAATGTACTACAGAGTTTTTTCTCCTGGACTCCTGGTGGTGTTTCATGTTGGTTTTTTCTACCCGTTTATTTGTTTCCTTAGTTCTTCACTTGAATACTTCTCTTCTGAGAGATGTAAAATAGAATTAAGAACACTACTTCTTTTTACATGTACATGTCTGTGCTTATTGGATTATGATTAAAGCTCATAATCTTGCTATTAAAAAACACATTTGTGGTTTCAATCTGTCATTTTCCATAATAGTGAAGGGGTTGCTAATTTATAATAACAGTTGTTATAGTTTAATTGGTTTCATTGAACTGATCATTTGATTGATGGTATTTTTTCCACTTTCTTTTGATGAATATAAAGAGCAAGAGAGAGAGAGAGAGAGAGGGCAAGATATAATACTTTTATCATTAGTTTTTTTTTTTTTTTTTCCAGATTTCATGTCATTTGCCTTATTATATTTTGGTTTTATTTTTTATTTTGGCTTATGGAAATTACTATTAGCCTGTAGGTTGGATGGTAGGAATTGCCATTGTTCTTTTCCTGAAGTTGAATGCTGCCCCTCATGCCAGCAGGGTGTTGGCATGATAAATTTCTTTACTTTTAATGGATGAGGAGGTGAGGATAAATGGGTGATGCATTTGTGTAATTGTGTTATGTAATTGTATTTCCTTTGTTTAAGACCTTACGTATGTGATCTAGATGGGAATCGAAAATTTGGAACTTAAATTATGCTTGTAAGTTTAGGCTGTTTGGGCTATGGATGGTAGAGCCTAACTATTGAGCATTTTTCAACTGGATATATTGAATTTTTCCCATTAGATATTCAGATATGCATTGAGCCATTGAGTAGTATCGGTTTTTCACTTTTTTTGTAACCGACATAACCGGCCAAAACCAAGAGGTTTGGTTTAAGTTGGTTATTGAGGAGGAAAGAAGTAATCAGTTATTGAGAGGTTACTGATCGAAACCAGCTGTTGCTCATCCTTACTCTTGCATGACTCGCTAGTACGATTATATACTGTCATTGACAGGAAATTTGATTTTTATATGCTTAAATGCTTTATGTTTTCTTGGCTGGAAATTATTTACTGTGCACTCAAAAATTTCTCTCGCTTGGTTTTGCCTCTACTGAAATGCTTTAGATAACAATTCAATGTTCTACTTTTGCACAGTAATTGTTTTTTCAGAGAATCTCTGTCCATTTCATATTCTTGATGAATTCCTCAAGAACTGAAATTTCCTTGAAAAAGTAATTTCTTCCTTGGGTATTGATAAGGTGGCCTAAGTTTTTGAACAATAAGATAAGTGATTATTTCCTCTAAGGCTATAACTAGGATTTAGTGTTTTATGAAGCGTGTGTGAGACTTCTTTCCAGGTAATTCATTCTATTTTTGCTCGTTCTTGTTCATTGTCAGGATGCTTGCTTTGAGGTGTTTTCCGGCAATTTTCACTGGAAGACAGGAATCGAGTAAATTTTGGAACAAAAGTAATCGAAACGCTGTAGTAAGCATTCCATTTTTTAGTTCAATTTTTAAATTTTAGATATTCTTCCATGCATTCATTATAGTTAATTAAGTTATCATACATGCCAATTGAAATGAAGGTAATTGCAATTTTTGTCTTGACATTTTAGGGTTTTAGTGTAGTGCTGATACTCTCTTCACTAATTATTTTATTCCAACTGTAATTGCTGGTTATTCTTAGCTAAAGTGCTGATTTTTTTTATTTTTTTTTTCAATTTTGCACACAATAATTGCAGCTCGAGAGTGTTATTCCATATGTAATGTTTTCTTAGATACATCTTCATCCCTTTCCAGCTTTTCTCGTGAATGAAGTCCTCAATTCTTTACTAATTGGTTGGTGAGATTGGAACTTCAAAGTTAGATGCCTACCATAGATTTCTCTACTTGAAGTTTTGTTTGTGGCTTGTCATGATTCCTTTTGTATTTGAAAGGTTCAGTATTAGAATGTTGAAGAATTGAGATGTATATAGAAGGAACTATTGTCCTTAGTACTCCAAGTAATTCAAGTAGAGATGGATTTCAAATTTTGATGCCTAGAACAAATGGGAAGCTTGCTTGAAGTGGTGTTTTGACTTCTTCTTCATTTGCTTCAGTTAGATTTTGATTATCCTTGTGAAATTCTGTATACTGGCTCGCTCTTGAAGTCTACATGACCATTTGCTTTAATTATCTTAGGTATGTGCTGCAAAAGGTCCTCGTCCGAGGTATCCTCGGGTGTGGAAGAGTAAAAGGAAAATAGGGACTATTTCTAAATCTCTCAAGCTTGTAGAATGTGTAAGTTTATTCTTCACTACCTTTTTGATTCTTGTGAGGAGATTTATCTTAGTAATTTAATTGTATCTTGGATACTTTTGACCTGGATTGTCAGAAAATTTTCTTTTGCCTGATGAAAGAAGTTATTTCTTACTCCTGAACAATATGATTTTATTATAGATAAAAGGATTATCAAATGTGAAGGAGGAAGTCTATGGTGCTCTGGATTCCTTTATTGCCTGGGAACTGGAGTTCCCATTGATCACAGTGAAAAAAGCTATAAAGACCCTTGAGCATGAAAAGGAGTGGAAGAGAATAATACAGGTATGATTTATTTGCTGGTGTGTGTGTGTGTGTGTATATATAATACTCAATATTTCGTGTGTTTTTACCTTAAATGAATCAGCCAAATACTATATTGGATTATAGGTCACAAAGTGGATGCTAAGCAAGGGTCAGGGGAGAACAATGGGTAGCTATCATACCTTGTTAAATGCTTTGGCCGAGGATGGAAGGCTTGATGAAGCTGAAGAGCTTTGGAGAAAGTTGCTTTTGGAGAACCTTGAAAGTATTCCTCGCATTTTCTTTGAGAAAATGATCTCTCTTTACTACCGAAGAGAAATGCATGAAAAGATGTTCGAGGTAGTTTCCTAGCTCCTTAGCTGTTTTTCCTGTTTTGGAAGAGAGGGGAGGCAGGGGGATTGCAAACCTCGGCACATAGCCTATGATGCACAGAAACTTTTGGGGGTAGCGTTTCTGCATATGGAAACATTTTTACATCTGAAACTCATGGAAACTTGCCAGTAACGTTTTGGGGCCATTTTCTATTTTTAAAAATATTTGGAAACACATTTCCTAAACTGAAATGCATTTTTCAACAATTTTTTTTTAAAGGGCCAAATCTGAAAAGTTACTCCTATTAGGCTTAAAATCCAGATCCCTTTTCGACAACCCCACCCATTTGTTCAAACTTTATTCCATCCTGTAACATTTCCTCAACTCTGCTGGTATAATCACTTGACACTTGTGATAGACACATTTCATTTGTTCTAACCTTTTAATAATTCTGCTTCATTCATCTTATGAAACTTGCGTAACAATAGATGAACAAATAAAAATCGTAACAATTAATGAATTTAATTACATAATTTCATATTTTTGTTATCACACCACTTGTGTCCTGGGTGCTGCTCATTGTAATGATTGAATGCTAGGCCAAAATTGTTGAACTCCAGATCTTCATATAGGGAATAATATGATCTTGATTTTGCTTAATGTAAGACATTTTGTCGATCTGCACTTCTGCAGATATTTGCTGACATGGAAGAACTTGGTGTCCGGCCAACTGTTCGCATTGTCACAATGGTTGGAGATGTGTTCCAGAAGTTGGATATGTTGGACAAATACCGAAAGTTGAAGAAAAAATACCCTCCACCAAGATGGGAATATCGGTATGTTAAGGGAAGAAGGATCAAAATAAGAACAGATGCTAGTAAATGTCATAATTATGGTGATGTTGTGGCAAATGAATCTGATAATGAAACCTACTCTAAGTTGGATGAGAACATCGATGGTGATGTTGTGGCAAATGAATCTGATACTGAAACCTACTCTGAGTCGGATGAGAACATCGAAGCTTGTGCAGATAGGTTGAGTGAGAACACGGAATTGTGTCCAGATAAGTTGGACGAAGTTGATATGATCATCTGAATCAGCTTTGATAAAACGCATTCCTCTGTGCCTGCCCAGTAAAAGTTTTCAATCTGTGATTGGAGGACAATGATGCTACAAAGAGCAGGTAATGGAACTCTAAAACTTTCTCTCATACCTCAAATTTTTTGGTAGAATTAATTTGGCAAAGTTCAATTTATTAATTTTCACCACCAATATGTTTTTACCCTGCAGAGATGAGTGGGTAGAAAATGTTTGCAGTTTGCACCAAACCTTGGTATGAACATATAATCTGTTTGTCATCCCCAATTCCTCCTCATCTTCACTGTATACTAATGTTATATACACACATGAACAAGAAGAGATTTAGGGGTTCACCACTGAATGCTCTTGTTAACCTAATTAATTTCTTTTGGAAGAGAAAAAAAAAGTGATGTGTCATTCATTGAAGACATGAGATTTATGATTTTTTTTTTTTTTTTTTTTTTTGTTGAATTTGAAAGATTCCAATGCCTGACGGGACGGGTGGAAAATAACAATCACCCGCCATAAAGAATCAAGGAATGAGAAAATATATATTGTATGAAAGTAAGTAGAAGGTTTATAAATCTGTGTTAGAAAGGGGGATGCATAGCCTTATAAATACATGCTAGAAGATTCCAAACATAGAAACAAGTTTTTATATGACTACTTACTCAAATCCCTATAAATCTCTAAACTGTCTAATATATATAGGTTCCATATTACTTGTACATTCTGTAATAGGTATAAATTTTCCTTGATCATTTAAATTTTCTCAAAATATCCAGGTTTCAGTCCAACAATACTGAAATTAGTCTATTAAAATAATATGTAGGTTGATCAAAGTTTAAGATATAGATCAAACAAACATGAGTGCATGCCTATTAATGTTGCAGGTTTATCACTTTATCATAATGATATCAGCTGATCAATCATTACTTAAAATTATTATTTTTATTTTTTCTAAATAAAATCAATGTTTTCAAAATATATTGTTTACATTAAAAATAAAAATGATGTTTATATTGATGTCTTTTTTCAATATATCATTTAAATGAGTGTATCGTTGATAAACTTGTAATAGTAAATTGATGTGTCTATACTCTTGCTATAAGTTGATGAACTTTCAATAGTAACTTGGTAAAGTTAAAGTAATGTTTTGATGGATTTGTACTCTTGTAGTAGCTAGTGAGTTGATGAACCTTTAGTAGTACTTAATGGACATGTTATAGTTATTTGACGGACATACACTAGTAAGTTGGTAAACTTATATAATGTTTTGATGAATTTATCGAACTAAGTTAATGAACCTGTTGAACTAACTTGAGTAGACTTGCAATAGCAAGGTGTTGAATTTATAGTATGTTTTGATGGAACTACAATAGTAAGTTGATGAACCTAGAGTAATGATTTAATGGATGTATAATAGTAACTTGATGGACTTTAATTTGCAGTAATAAATTGATTAACATATAACAATACATTTATGGACCTATAGTAGTAACTTGATGAACTTAAAATAATAACTTAATGAAGCAATAATGATTTAATTGCTATTGAAATAAAACAAACGTAGGGATATATTGATAATAAATTGAGAATAATCATTCTTTCAAAAGGTTGAACCCCAACCCTAAGGGCCCGACAGAGCATTTGGGATGATGTAAATCATGGTAACTCAACTGAACATGAACCACAGAGGCTAAACCGGTGCTCACTGCGCACAAGGAGCTCCTCTCACTTTGAGAGGTTGCTCTCACACTGCCGCTGGTGAGATTCAATCCCTGGTCATTCTTCTAAAGTTTCACCTCTATGACCAGTTGAGCTACCCATGCGAACAAATTGAGAATAATCATAATCTATGTGGTAAATTAATCAGGTTGATTTTAATACAATAGTTCATGACGCAAATTACTGATATTATTAATTATTCTCTATATTGGTAACAAATTAACAACAAATTCAGAAAATCATAATCATGAATACCATTAAATAAAGATTCATCCCCAATTCGAACCATTTCAATTTCTATATAGTTGTTCCCTCCTACTCTTAAATACTTAGCAATTAGAAAGAAGAATACTCATGAATCGTCTTCTACTCTTAAATACTTAGCAATAAGAAAGAACAATACTCATGAATCGTCTTCTAAGTTTATCTAATTTGTCAGTTACGGTTATTGCATAAAAACTCAAGAACATAACCTAGGGTGGATATATTTCTATCCTTTTTGTAATAATCACAAATAAAGCATCAAGATAGGTAACACAATCTTTGATGGAGAAAATATATTTTTCCATAGAAAATATGAATAATAAATATAAAGTAATCAATAAAGTATTTGCAAGGAATTGATAAATAAGCATGACACAGATATTTAATGTGGAAACCACAACGATAAAAATTATCGACTTTTTAGACTAAGTCAAGCCAAAATTTACTATATGTATTGTAGGTACATGTACAAAGGGCCAAAGGCAGCCATGGCCATGGAGTGGAAGAAGGAGAAAAGTACGTAGAAGACAGATTATTAGGACTAATGAGCCTTGGATCATTGTTTGATCCCCGAGCCTTTATATAAGGTTATTTCTGTGTCGTTGCAACTTCCCGTAGCCTTCCATACTTTCTTGCTGGATTTCTTCTTCTTCTGATGATGATGATGATGATGATGATGATGATGATGATGATGATGATGATGTTATTCCATCAACCCTAACCCAAATCTATAAACTAAGAATTCACACATATATAGCATAAACATCATAAAAACACAAAAATAAAGCATAAATACCATAAAGGAAATAGATAGAAAGAAAAGAGAACCTATCTATCTTGAAATCCAAGCTTTAAATCATTGGTTACAAGCTTCAAAAATATTAAGGAAAGTAATTATAAGTCTAATCTAATTTAAAAATAAGAATGAAAAATAGCTATGTTTCGTCTATGAGTCAGAACTATGGAAATATCGCTTTAAATGTAGTTTTATAGAAGACTGAGTACTTAGGAACAACCTACAGAATAACCATTCCTCAACTCATTTGTTGCTCAGGAAAAATGCAATTTAACTTGAAGAAATAGCACAACAAGGAATGATAGTTCATCAAACAATTCTTTGTGGATAGAACTCTTTCCTTTCTATTTTTTCCTTTTTTAATATTCGAATTTGGCTTATTGGTCTACATGAAAGTTGTAGCCATTTGAGTAAGCTTTTCAATAGCATAATAATCACTCAATTTGGACATTCATAACTAAGATAGGATCAAAATGCTAAAGAATACGGTGGTCATGTTGGGCAAGATTAATGACTGCTTACTCTTTTGATACTCTTTTGTCTTGGTTTGCCAATATGATCAAGACCATTGAAAATGTTATTCTCTGACTCTCTTGGAAGTATTTTACACATCTTCTTAGCTTCTTCTTGGCTCTCATCGACTCTAAATGCATCTAAAATGCTCCAACAATCATTCATTTTTATTCAAAGATATAGAATTGTACATAATTGATCAAATAAAACAAATAAGGATCATTTTGGACACAATTTTAACAATTCACAAGCAAAATAACGCCAAGTATATATAGCATAAATATGAATAATTATGCACGTATCTAGTGCTGTCAATACGGGCTGGTGGGGCGGGGCAGGCCAAAGCCTGGCGGGCCTAAACGGGGCGGGCTAAAAAAGCCCGCTCCTAAAGGCCCGCAGGCCCGGACCGCCCCACCAGTGGCCCGCGGGCTAGGCGGGCCCCCGCCCAAACCCCCTCTTTTTTTTAAAAAAAAAAAATTGTTCATCAAACATCAAACTAACTAAAATAAATTGATACATAAGTCATAACTCACATAAAACATAATAATCAAACATTAAATATTACATAAAGTTCAAAGTTCATAATTCATCAAAACATCAAACTAGTCACAACTTCAAAGTCCAAAAACATTACACATAACAATAACTTTAAAGTGCATATTTTATATAAAAATATTTTATATAAAATAAAATAAAATAATTGCGGGCAGCCCGCGACCCGCCAGGCCCGTGGGCGGGCCAAAAAAGCCCACTCCTAAACGGTCCTGTATTTTCGAAACCTGCCCCCTACCTAAGTAGGGGCGGGTTGGGCCGAGCCGACGGGCTAAACCCGTTTTGACGACTCTACGCGTATCAACACATATCACCACTAGTCACTTTTGTAAGGAAAACACAATATTATCTGCAAGTACAAAATACTCAAAACACGTTTTTCTTAATAAATCTTGATGACTAGAATCTCGCAACAAAAATTTTAGCGTTGAAACCCTATATGGACAACAAAAAAAGATTAAAATCGCAGACTAAAAGATTAAGAATGAAATCCTAACCATCCTTTACGATTTTTCATATTTACTAGAATTCCAAAACCCACAAATAAAAACAAATGATTATAACTTGCTCTTTAAAATATTAATAAACAATGGAGCAAAAACCCACAAATATCTAAACAAATAATGAGGGGAGACGCTGGATGCAGAGGATTATCGATCAAATCCTGTTAAGCTAATTAATTCTTTGGGTTACAGGAATAGATCGATTATCCGCTGCCTCCAGCGTCTCAACCATCTCCACAAAACACATAAAAAAGGTAAAAACTTTAACAGTGAGGGGAGACGCTGGATGCAGAGGATTATCGATCAAATCCTGTTAAGCTAATTAATTCTTTGAGTTACAGGAATAGATCAATTATCTGCTGCCTCCAGCGTCTCAACCATCTCCACAAAACACATAAAAAAGGTCAAAACTTTAATAGTGAGGGGAGACGCTGGATGCAGAGGATTATCGATCAAATCCTGTTAAGCTAATTAATTCTTTAGGTTACAGGAATAGATCGATTATCCGCTGCCTCCAGCGTCTCAACCATCTCCACAAAACGCATAAAAAAAAAAAATTTAATAGTATATATGTAATGGAGTTGATCTCAAACACTCACATACCACCTTAGATCTAAATTTTATAATATTGAGTAGAACCAAGGTATATATATAAAAGTTGATCTCAAACACTCACATACCACTTTTGATCAAATTTTATAATATTGAGTAGGATTACCAAAATATATCGATTTATATTTGAGAAAACTCACTAAAAAAGACAAGTGGGGACCATGTAAAAATTTCATGACAGTGACAAAATTACAAAGATTAGACATGGAAAAGATAACTAGGCATAAATTCGTGCAAGAATCATCTAAAGTATCATAACAGTGGGTAAAATACAATGATGGGACACGGAAAATCTAACTGGGCCCCGAAATTTCATGTGAATAAAATACAAAGATGTGACATGAAAACGCCAACTAAGAAAAATTTTTCATGTGAAAACCACGCAAAAGTTTCAAGACAATGGTCAAAATACAAAGCTAGAACATGAAAATACACAAATTATTCTGTGGACCCAGGTC